CTTGATCCATACATCCCATACCCTTTCTAAATTCAGCTTGCACATCCCAAATTTTTCCATCAGTTTCTTCCATAACTCTTTCAATTAACACCTTAGCATACAGTTTACCCACAATGCTAAGCAAGTTGATACCACGGTAGTTTTTATAAACCTGCTGCGACCCCTTTCCCTTATATATTGGGACTATAACGGATTTGCAGCAGTCTTCCGTTACCTGCTTCAGTTCCCAACATAAATTAAACAAGTTGTACAGCAGGCCTGCAACCACACGCTCTCCAGCCCTTAGCATTTCGAGTGATACTCTATCATATCCGGCTGTCTTACCTGTTTTCATGCTTTTCATTGCTTTCATTATTTCATCTACACTTATCTCCCTACCTCTCTCCACTTCTTCCGGAATCTTTATTTCACTTATTTCAGACGACTCTTCACTCTTAAACACGCTTTCAAAGTTTTCCTTCAATCTCTTTAAATTCGAAACTTCATCATTCAGCATGCAGCTATTCTCGTCTCGTATAGCATTCATTCTAGGCTGTTTTGAATTTCCCCTGGCAGTTGTTATGAGCTTCCAGAACATTTTAATATTTGACTGGAAGTTATCAAGATATTCTTCTATCATTCTTTACTGCTTTTTCATTTTAACAACTTCTTTTACTCTCTCATTTATACGTCTAAAGTCTGCCTTTCTTCTTTCAATCTCATAATTCATACCGCCAGAATTACCAGCTTTGGTTGCTAGTAAATCTAGCCATGCCCTCTTCTTTGCTTCAACTTCCATCCGTACCTCATCATCCCACCACAACGTATTACTTTTCCTTTCATTCATTCCCTTACTTACACCACATACTTCAGTGGCTGTATCCACCAAAACTTTCTTATTATTATTCCATACATTCTTCAAGTCTAAATCATTCATACAAAATTCATTCAACACACTTATATTTTCCCTCAGTCTGCATTTATACTTCTCTTTCACACCTTCATCTTGTAACTTCTCTATTCTTATACGCTGTAACGCAGTGGTAGACACAGATGTCCGATGCCGCCAACGCTTAGACCATTAATTCAGCATAAGACCAAGTAATGATCCGTCCCTACGTTGGACCCACAGTAAACCCTTGTATCTACCACTGCGATCCTCATTCTTTCATCCACAATTATAAAATCTATCATGCTTCTATCATCCCCTCTTTCCCAAGTATACATATGAATCCTCTAATAGCGAAAGAAAGTGTTCACCACAAAAATACTCTTTTCCACACATATGGTTAGGAGGTCTTCACCATTCTCATTTATTCTTTCATCGCCAAACGTTCCTAATATCCTTTCATAACCAGACCTCTTCACCCAACCCTTCCATTAAAACCTCCTAACATAATAATATTTTCATTTTCCTTACATTTCATCAACACCAGCCTTACCATGTCCCAAAACTGCTCTCGGATATAAGTGGGCTTAGACATATCTGGGGCGTACACCCCAAGCACAAACAACTTTTTAAGTCCACTTTCATTCGTATCCACAGCAGCCTTGGGCTTTGACACATTCATACTCTTTCACACAAAAGGAAAGGTTGACAGCAATTCCCTGGCATGCCCGCTCGGTCTCGTCTACACCAGACCAGTAAGCGGTATACATGCCATGTACAGTGACATCGATTCCCTTTCGTTTTGTCTCATTCACACATAACACATCTATTCCTCTATCATTCATCATTTCGCATATTTCATCCGTCTTATCATTCATTGCTCCAGATACATTCAGCGTACCCAGACGGGCCTCCGCAATCCACTTTTCGCCCCCCCCCCCCCCCCCCCCCCGGAAGACAGGACGTTACGAGTGGCGAACCTCATCGCCGGTTTTCTTCCCGGAGATTCTTCGCACCCCTGCCCCATTAAAGGGGCGCCGGGAACTCGGGGCCATTTCTTTAAATTGTTGTAGATTTAATTTGTGGTAGATTTTACGCCACTACCACACGGCGAGGAGCCGAGTCTGTTGTTTCGGCTTTGTCGCTCGTTTAGCACCACCCGGGGGACACGTGTAGGGTGGGCCTAGGGTTAGGTGGTCGAAGCCTACGGACGCGAGCGACTCATCCCCCATTTTTTTAACATGTTTTTATGTATGTACATAATGTATGTACATAATGTATGTACATTACATTTTCATAAATATATTGCGATGTCAAAGTTAATATGTTTATTTCTTTAAATTTTTTTCTGAGGGACTCTTTACAATTTAGATTATAAATCGCCAGTACGGCTTTATTTTGCAAAACAAATATATCTTCAATATCAGTCGCTTTACCCCATAGCTAATTTACATAAGACATAACGCTATGAAAGTAACTAAAATACACTAATCTAGCTGTCTCAACATCGGTGAGATAGATGTGATCTTTCTTACAGCATATGTTGCAGAACTAAGTCTGCTTGCTAAGTTAGATATATGGGGTTGCGGTTGGGACGGAATGCAGTCTTTCTTTGCATCCCACCCATGGGAGCGGGTTTGCTTCTCGCCGGATGATCCAAGCGCTGTTGCTGACTCTGTCACTGATGTGGTGCTACAGGGAATGAAACTATTTATTTCATCATCAGTGGTACCCATCGGAGGCAGATCTCAACCTTGGTTTGGTCGCTCCTGTATGACTGCATTACGCAGTAAGCAGGAGTGTTATCAAGTCTGGGCTGCGGTTTCGGCGACTCAGGATGTAAACACCAGCATGCTTAAAAAGAAGTATAACTTCGCCTACAGGTCCTTCAAAAGTTATTTCCAAGGCAAAGTCAGAGCACATAGGCAGAATTGGCGAGAAACTAGTTCGCCTTCCTTCGGGAACCCGTGCATTCTGGTCTCTCGCCAAGGTTTTCTGGGAATTTCTGTACGCCATCACTACCATCTCTGCACAAGGTGGACAACTCATTGGCCCATGCCGCAAAAGAGAAAGCCGACCTATTAGGCTCCCTTTTTGCGTCCAACTCGATTCTAAATGACGGAGAGAACACACCGCCTACCATCCCGCGGTGTGAGTGCTCTGTGTAGGATGTGCTGCTCTCACAGCGCTCGGTTCGCAAAGCACTCCTATCCCTGGACATCCACAAATCGAGTGGCCCTGACGGAATCCCCCCAATAGTGCTGAGGACGTGAGCTCCGGAGTTGGCACCGGTTCTAACGCGTCTTTTCCGGTACTCCTACTCCCTAGGCGTAGTCCAGAAATCATGTAAGACAGCTTTTGTCCACCCGATCCCTAAAAAAGGCGACCGCTCAGACCCGTCCAACTACAGGCCTATTGCCATCACCTCCTTGTTCTCCAAATTAATGGAATCCATTATTAACTGCCAGCTCAAGTGGTACCTTGAGGATCATCAGCTAATTAGTGAGCGCCAATACGGTTTTCGTCGAGGTCGATCAGCTGGTGATCTTTTGGTCTACTTGACTCATAGATGGGCGGAGGCAGTAGAGTCCACGGGGGAAGCGTTGGCCGTTAGTTTGGACATTGCGGAGGCCTTCGATCGGGTTTGGCACAAAGCGCTTCTTTTGAAGCTCCCTTCCTATGGGCTTCCCGAGTAATTGTACAATTGGATCACCAGCTTCCTTGCAGATCGGAGCATCAAGGTCGTTGTAGACGGTGCATGTTCTGACTACAAGCCTATTATCGCTGTTGTTCCGGCTGTATGCTATCACCAACGCTGTTTCTTCTGCATATCAGTGATATGTTGCAAACTGGTACCATTAATTGCCATGCGGATGACAGCACTGGTGGTGCCTTATATACCGACCGCGCCAATATTTCTCGGGAAAACGTCGCCGAGTACCAGGACAAACTTGTGTCTGAAGTCGAGTGAACAAAGTCTCGGATTGGGGGTGACTAAATCTAGTCCAGTTCAACCCCAAGAAGACACAAGTTTGCGCGTTTACCGCTAAAAAGAACCCCTTTGTCGTATCTCCTCACTTTCAGGGCACTCCTTTTGCTGCGTCAGCTAGCATCGGAATCCTCGGCGTCAACATATCGAATAGTGTGCAGTTTCGTGATCACTTGGAAGATTGGCCTCTAAAAAGCTTGGCCAAATTGGCCTCTAAAAAGCTTGGTGAGCGAGTCAGTATTTCATGCCGGCACATCGCTTGCAACTTTACAAAGCGCAAATCCGGCATCACATGGAATACTGTTCTCATCTTTGGGCCGGGACATCCCAGTGCCAGCTCCTTCTACTTGACCATATCCAGCGCAGAGCGGTTCGAATCGTCGACGACCGAGTTCTTTCTGATCGGCTCGATACACTGGTACTGCGTAGGGATGTTGCATCCCTTTGCATTTTCTATCGAATTTACCACAGGGAGGGCTCTGAATAATTGTTCGGATTAATTCCAGCCACCAAATTTCACGAAAGCACATCGCGGCAGAACTCCCGATACCATCCACACCATCTGGATATTTGGCCGTCCACTACTGTGATTTAGAAGAAGTTTTCTTCCTCGCACAACTTCCTTGTGGAATCGATTACCATCAGCGATTTTTCCGGATAAATACGACTTAGGGACCTTCAAGAAAAAGCCTACTCCTTTTTAAAAGGCCGGCAACACATCTGCAATTCCCCTGGTCCATCATCAGGTGAGCCGCATGCTCGTTTGCCCCCTCTCCTATAAAAAAAATCCCTGAGCGCCGCAACGCAATGCCAACCCACTTCGCAGAGGAGGCGACTAACTATTGAAAGATTTTGGAACAAAGTTCCTTATCACACGGTACGAATTTGACAGATGGGGGCTAGGCGGGAAAACGTGTAAGATTTTTCCGTCACGACCCCCTATCTATAATGCGAGTGAGATGGAATAATATCCATTTCCCTCGCACTTCTTCTTATCTTGCAATGAAAGAAATATTATTTTAAATGACGACGCTAGTAATTCATTTATTTTGTATTTGTTAATCAGTAATATAATACCGTTCATCAATAATAATATACTACGATGAAGTGTTCTACGACACTTACGCATGTTTTTTGTTCCAGTTTAAAAACATTATCAAGAACGTATATATAGCTGGATATACTATCTCTACAGTTGTGCTGCTGCTTTTACTGATATTATTAATTTACTACGGGTATGTATACATTACTATATAATTAGACAAAATTAAATGCAATACAGTGGGACCTCGATAATCACGTGCCTGTGTACCATCTGTTTGTTTTTGTTCGGAAAATAGCTTGAAATTCTCATTAAGTAGATAATTCATTAACTCAAATTTTTAGCATTTTCCTTTAAATTCGAGTTATCGAGATTCTGCCGTATTTTATAGAGAACAGGTGCTTACCCAAGATCGCCTGCCATGCGTAATAAATAAGGACCTTAACAGTATTCTTTAGTATTTCTATTACGACGTCAATAAGCTTACGTAATTCTGAAGTCTCATGTCCAGTGAACATGGAAAGGTTAATGATGACAATAATAATATTATGATAGTAAAATTACAATAGTCTGTTTTTTCTTAAATTTAATTTCGAAATTTATTTATTTATATTAAATTATTTTAATTCTGCAAAATATGATTAATAACAAATTGCCACTTTTCCTAGTACGTCACTCGGCAATTTACGGAAATTATAATTACAAAATACGTCATTATGCTGACAATATTATTTTCAACATTCACAAGGTTAGCAGCAAAAACAATGTCTTCGAGATAAATGTTTAGATTGATTTTTTCGACGCTTACTTTGTACGGTAAGGCGGGGTTAGTTAAACATAGAGGTAAGTTGAGTAATGTTGAGCAGTATGTCAAGTGAGTAAATAACGGAGAGAGGGTATTGCGTGATTGGAAGTCATCTCGCGATTGCTGGTGGCGACGTGGCGTACAAGCATATGAACGCTTTGTTTATATTGCAGCGAATTAGTAGGTACACAATATTTTTGGAAAATTTTCTACTGAACTCGTAAAATACTAACCGATTATAATACACAAATCATATTAATATTTTATACATTTAATTTTTAACAAGCAAGTAATTTTATTGCACATCTGACATACGTCCAACCTTTTATTGTCTTGCTCAACGGTGCTCAACTTACCTTACCTAAACGTAGTGATTGTATTCTCTTTGACCTACCTTATGAGGCTAAAATATTATAATCACCGACTTTAATTACTTATATGGCTCTTCAAGCGAAGTCAAAGTATTAAATGTGATTAGAGGTGTTTTTCATGGAATAAATTACTGAAATAACATTGTCCGTACTATACAATTTGTCTAACTAGGCCCGCCAAACCTTATAATATATTATTCCAAAGGTTTGAAGTAATAATTGAAAGGATTAAAAAAAAGTCTTTCTTGTTTTTTTTATCTATGTACTCATAGTCTTAAAAGTAATATTACAGACAAGAAAAGTTAACTATTTCCTTAGTAAGGTCGTAGGTGTTTTAATATTGTTTAGTTTTACAACTAAATTTCGGTCTTACTTACCTATTCTCTTAGAGTTTAAAAAAATTTTTTTTAAACGTTACCCCCACACTAGGATTTTCTCCTGTATCGTGGAGGCAGTTTACAAACACAAATTTCACAAGGACAAACATCCAGACCCGGAACAATCATTTGTAGGTAATCAATCATACAAATACTTGTTCCGTGCGGGATTCGAACCCGCGCCCCCCAGCGCAGCAACTCATTGCTAAGCCACTGCGCCACGGAGCCGTCAAATCGTAAAATATATACTTAACATAAAATGTGCAGTAAGAACATTCTTAGCATTTTAAAACATTAACTAGTTTTTATTCTTAACAACGAGTGAAATATATTTTTTTTATTCAGGTCTCGTCAATGCATTCGCATCCAGATCCACAAACATCTTTCCATATCTATGATTCTAAATAATATTCTCTGGATTATTTGGTACACGTCAGTTGTGAATAACTTTGTAGTGGTCCAGAACAATGAGGTAATTATTTTTTTTGTATTTTTTAATGAATTATTTTGTATCTTTAGTAAAAATGTAACATATAATTTTAAAATGTTTTCCAAAATTTTTCAAGTGGTTATAGCCTTGCTGCAGCTGTATTATAGTTGTTGCACGAATGGGTAGATGCGATCGGGATAGGTGGAATAGCGTAAAATAGTAGCTTAATTCCGCTGTGTATCATATGTTAAGTGTAGGGAAACGGATACCGGATACGGGTGAGATTTGAACAAGGGATTGTCATGCTCTGTCTTGTGTATTACGTTTCTAAACAGTTGCGCAGCATGTCGTCCGGGAACACTAGAGCCAAACATCCGCACTTGAATTTTCTCTCATAATTTTCAAAGTACTACGGTTTCAAAGTACCGTTATAGCCTATTAAAGTCTACTGCTGAACATAGGCCTCCCCCACAAATTGCCTCATAAATGGGATATTTGCCATAGTTGCCACGCTTGGCAACCGGGTTAGCAACCGCAATTTTTATTTTTAGTTGTTATTAGGAATCCACTGCTGCCCATCTCCTGATTTGTTTCACTCAGTCGCCTTTTTAGACACCACAGTATAGTATTTTACAAAATATTAAATCGGTGAAAGTGTTTTTTAGTTTTTACATGTTATTTAAAAATGGATGAAGCGTAATATATGCTTTATACTTATCCCCACCCTTGTCGAATTCGCGAATGCTAATTATCTTTATTTCCTCCTAGAAATAAAGATAATTAGCAATACAGTTTTCGTATATTGTTTATTCTAAGGGTAATTTTACACATATTTATTATATTTTACTGATGTTATTTAAGAAATCGGTAAGCTAAAAGTAGGGCGGCACTCCATCTACTGGGGGGAGGGCAGGAAGTCGATGCAGGTGGTTGAGGACGGTGCTTTATGGACTTCCTTGTATGAGGCCTTCAGTGGGTTTATGATGAGCTGTAATAATGATGATAATTTAATAATAATAATTTTGCAACGCATCTGCAATTACCCTGGTGTTGCGGTTGTTCATGGGCGGCGGTAATCACTTACCATCAGGTGAGCCGCATGCTCGTTTGCCCCCTCTCCTATAAAAAAAAAATCGGTGGGAGCGGCGGCCATTCCCTTGTTAAATTCCCTTGCTACGGAACTGTTATTATCATCTATCTAGTACAGCAACCTAAACTAGCGCACATAAACTGCTATACTAAATAATAAAGAATGTGTGTGTATTAATGACTGAATCAACTGTCCAATTCTTAGATATCTGGCTAGGTGTAGAATAAACCAGTTCTATTACGAGTGTTATTATAACATTAGGATCATAATATCTTATTCACATCAATGTTAATATAATTTCTTACCTTTTTCATCATAATCTATTCTTTTCAGATTTGGTGTCAAATTCATCACATCGTCACAGTTTACTTCATGCTTTCAAGCTACTTTTGGATGTTTTGCGATGGTCTCCACTTCCATTTATCCCTATTTGTGGTACGTATGAATTTGCATTATTATTGAAACAGAAACAGAAACTTTTTTTATTCAATACTAGCTGTAACCCGCGGCTTCGCCCGCATGGTCACTGGGAAATGAACTATCCATTGCTTTTTGAATTGAAAGAAAACTGAGTTTTATAGATTTGTCAGAGATGCAGCCATTAAAAGGAAACTGAGCAAAATTGATTCGTCAGCCTATTTAAATGTTTTGAAACGCAGCGTATAGGAAAGCATGAAAATAGCCTGTTTATTCCAAATGGAAATGGGATATTTTTTTTATTAAAGGAAACTAAGCATAATTATCCGTCAGGGATGCAGACTTTTGAAAAGAAACTAAGCTAAATTGATTCGTCAGAGATGCAGTTTTCTGATTTAAAAGTAACTGAGCCAAATAAAAGATCCGTCAGAGATGCAGCCTTTGGAGTTGAAAGGAAACTGAGCTTAATAGGTCCGTCAGAGGTGCAGCATTTGGAATTGAAAAGAAACTGAGCTAAATAGAAAATTTGTAATTGAAAGGGAAGATCTGTGGGAATTCTGATTAATTGATTGTGGGAATTTGGAAAAAAAAACTAACTGAACACTATTTTAAGACGCTACTGTACACAATGTTATATGTTTTTCCATTCGGGGAAAGAATGTGGAGATTCTGGGCATTTGACACACGCGAACATGCTACCTACATCTGACCATGAGAGAAGCACGGTTTTTCTAAGTTGACCCCGCTACCCATAACATTTGCCCTTGCGCTTTATTAATTGTCATTGCAAAACTGAGCTTAATAGGGAACTGCAACCTTTTGAATTGAAAAGGAAGATCTGTGGGAATTATAGGGATCTGTGGTATAATAACATTTTCACCTTTTCCTACGCCTGTCAAAATTGTAGCACCGATTATGTTCCGTCCAAGTTGTGTCACACGCAGCCTTGTCCCGTGACATAACCGAGGAGCATCTAAATTTCGCATTAGCATGACTGGGACGCCTAATTTTAATTGAAGCTTATGTGAGGGTACACCTGACAACTCTAGAGAATTTAGAAACTCTACGGGTTATGAAGTGCTCTGTTCTGTGTCCATAGCTGTGTCTACTGACAAATAATCGCGAATCTTTCATCCTGATATCGAACGGGATTACACACGTTTTTCAATGTAAAAATAAATTTCCGAAATATTAATTCGCGATATTAAATTACTACAAGTACCAGGCGCTTATAATCGATAAAGTGCTGTGCAAGTGTGGGAGCATTAGTGTAGTGTTAATTGCGGCCTGTTGAATGAGTGAGATAGAATATCAGAGTAAGAACGGTCATTGTGTAACATAACGTCGAAAACTGCATCACTTAAACTTTGAACCTAAGAAAATTCTTCTTAATAATGAGCCGATTAACAAGAAGCCCTCCATCAAGTGGGCTAATACCACACACAGTGTCGGATTCTGACGTCTACTTGGTTGGGCATGCCCAAGAGCACAAACCATATGTAACCCAATGAACTAAAAGACTAAGAGAGCCATGTTGCGAAGATTTATTTTCAAAATTCAAAGAAGAATTGAAATCTATGATCAAAGAAATGAGTTAAAACCAAAATCAAATTCTCAATAATCTTATTAAAGATGTAGCCTAAATAAAAGTTCAGAATTCCAAAATTCAACAGACTAATCAGGAGATTGAAAAGTCTCTACAGTTTCTATCCGATCAGTTTGACGCTTTGTTGATAAGAGTGGAAACTCTAGAACGAGAACGCAAAGAACAGCTATTGTATATCTTTTCACTTGAATCAAAAGTCGAGGACATGCAAAGATTGCTGAAATCAACTACTGTGGAAATTAGGAACGTACCATCTTCTACTAAAAACGATAACAATTTCGAAATTACTAATATCGTACAAAATACCTGTAAGGTCCTAGCTGTAGATTTCCAACCGAGTGATGTTAAGGACGTTTTCCGCATTAAGGGAAAATCGGGAACATCTATCCTTGTAGTGGATTTCTTGCGAACAAAAACCAAACTGGAAGGAATTAAAAATGCTAAGCTGTATAACAAAACACACCCAAATGAAAGGCTTAATTCAACTCTTATAGGTCTAAGTGGACCATCTGTACCTTTATATTTATCCGAAGGTCTTACACATAAAGGTTGCAGACTGCTGTACCTGGCTTTCATGCTCTCCTCGAGGGGTCGGATCTGCGTGAATGACGACTTTAAAATCCTCTTTAGGTAGGTTTTCTAAAGCAGTTTTAAATGTTTTGACTAAAATGTTACGTTCATACAAGAATCTTTGAATTTTGAACACTATGTCTCTCTCAACTCCCTGGATAAATTGGCAGCGACGGTCTACCTCAATTTCTTTGTCACCCATAAAAAAAGCAAATCCAATATATCTAAAAGGAATAAATATTCCTTTTAAATATTTTTTTTTTAAATCAAAACAACAAAACCAATTCAAGACACAACACGAATCCGAAAACGATAGCCAAAAAAAAATCGAATCAACTTAAACCAAATCACAAAACAAATCGCAGAAAACCGAAATCGAAAGCAGTAGTCAATATAAATATAACCAACGAAAAAAGAAGTAAGTGTATAGGTACCGTATATACTATCTATACTATTAATATTCCTTTGAAATATTGTTAAACAACCTAAAACAACGAAAACCAATTCACGATTCTAAATAAACAAAATCCAAAATCAAAGCCAGAGTCTAAATATGTATAAAGGAAAGGAATACCAACCAAATCAACAAAACCGATCCAAGAAAATACACAAATCCGAAAATGAAAGCCAATATAAATCCATTCAACCTTAACCAAATCACAAAACAAATAACAAACAACCGAATTCGAAAGCAGTTAGTCGAAAAAACTACGAAATAGAAACAATTTAAGCGTATAGGTTGAAGTTGGCTCGTCCTGTTGAAGACCCATATATTATAACTGGACAAATACTTACTGTTTTATATTTTTCTTATTTCATTATTAATCCTATTATTAATAAATTCTGAGACAATTTAATTTTTAATTAATAATTAATGAGCTTGTTAAAGCATTTGTTTTGAAAACTTAAGAAAGTATAAATTTATTCTATTAATTTATACTAAAATTATTAACTAAATTAAAAATATTTTTAACCCTATAAAAAATAATAAATAATTTAAAGAAATAAGTAAATATCTTTTTCAAGATAAATATATTAATTTATTATAACGATATCGTGGTAAATTACCTCGAACTCAAATAAATAAAAATGAAATAAAAACTAATTTAATATAAAAAATAAAGATATATTATAACCTCCCATATACATGAAAATAAATAATATTCTTATAAATAAAATTGTAGAATATTCAGCTAAAAAAATTAAAGCAAACCCCTTTATTAAACCTTTTTTATCTTCTATATTCAATATTAAACCCCGAAACTAATTATCTTTCCCCTTCTGCAAAATCAAAAGGATTTCGATTAGTTTCAGCCAATCTTGAAGAAATTCAACATATTCTTAAAGGTATTATTAAGAAAAATACCTAATTAAATCTTGATAAATAAAAGAAATTATTATATTAATATCTATAATTAAAATAATTATTGATAACATAATTAAAGCCAATCTTACTTCATAAGAAATTGTTTGTGCAACAGCCCGTAAACCCCCTAATAAAGAATAATTCGAATTTGAAGATCATCCCGCAACTATAACAGTTATACCCCCATTCTAGTACAACATAAAAAAAAAATACCGAAATTAAATATAACTATATTAAAATAATAAGAAATCAATATTTATATCATTAAAGATAAAATAAATCTAATAATAGGAGAAAAATAATAAGAAATATAATTAGAATAAACAGGAAAAACTTGTTCTTTAGAAAATAATTTAATAGCATCAGAAAAAGGATATAAAATTCCTTTATATCCAACTTTATTTGGACCTTTTTGAATCAGAATAAAACTTTACGTTCTAATAATGTAAGAAAAGCAACCCCAATTAATACCCCTAAAATTAAAATTAACATCCCTAAAATTATTACAAATATTTCTTTTATAATCATTTACTACATATATAAATTAATTATATTTATGACTTCTAAAATCATTACATTTTTTTCTGCCAAAATAGTCATATTTAAATAACTATTATCTATTATTAAAATTCCTATAAAAAAATATAAAATTATTTTAAATATTTTATTGATTTAAAGATAGAAACCAACCTGGCTTACACCGGTTTGAACTGAGATCATGTAAGAAAATACACAAATCCGAAAATGAAAGCCAATATAAATCCATTCAACCTTAACCAAATCACAAAACAAATAACAAACAACCGAATTCGAAAGCAGTTAGTCGAAAAAGCTACGAAATAGAAACAATTTAAGCGTATAGGTTGAAGTTGGCTCGTCCTGTTGAAGACCCATATATTATAACTGGACAAATACTTACTGTTTTATATTTTTCTTATTTCATTATTAATCCTATTATTAATAAATTCTGAGACAATTTAATTTTTAATTAATAATTAATGAGCTTGTTAAAGCATTTGTTTTGAAAACTTAAGAAAGAATAAATTTATTCTATTAATTTATACTAAAATTATTAACTAAATTAAAAATATTTTTAACCCAATAAAAAATAATAAATAATTTAAAGAAATAAGTAAATATCTTTTTCAAGATAAATATATTAATTTATTATAACGATATCGTGGTAAATTACCTCGAACTCAAATAAATAAAAATGAAATAAAAACTAATTTAATATATTATTTAATATATTTAATGATCGAACAGATCAAAAATTTTAAACTTTTACATTTAAATTGTATCTTAATCCAACATCGAGTACGCAAACTTTTTTCTTATTTGAACTAAAAAAATATTACGCTGTTATCCCTAAGGTAATTTTTTCTTATAATCGTAAATTACGGATCACTTAATTATTTATTAATGTAAAATTATAAAAAAGTTATTTTAATTTTTCTGTCACCCCAAAAAATATTT